TGTTACTAGGGACGCTAGTGATGCTGATGTTACTAGGGACGCTAGTTATGCTGATGTTGCTAGAGACTCTAGTGATGCTGATGTTACTAGGGACGCTAGTGATGCTGATGTTACTAGGGACGCTAGTTATGCTGATGTTGCTAGAGACTCTAGTGATGCTGATGTTACTAGGGACGCTAGTGATGCTAATGTTACTAGGGACACTAGAGACGCTGGTGTTGTTTATTTAAAAAAGGACTATACCATGCTATTATTTGTTCCCCTTCCCCTAAGGATATCGATGCTTCTGACTAAATTTGGTCAAAATCTGCAGAGTCTTTTATGACGCTGCGCCATGGCATAAGCTCACTTGCCCTTCGGGCAGGTGAGCTAAAAATTATAATATAATTGAATAGAAAATCGTTAATTTCTTGTAAAATCAACTACATTGTGCGTGCATAATATGTTGGTTCTTGTTTTCATAGCATAGACAATATTCTGCACATGTGCATGTATTTGGAACAAAATTAATTCGTATATATTAACATAAGCTTCTATTTAATCAAAGCTCCATTGCTGTTATATAACTGTAACAGCAATGCAAAAAGGCTTTGCACATGAAAGAATTTAAAGGCGATATATAGAAACTATTTTTTTCAGTTACCAATAAATACCTGGTGTACGGTAGCTACACCACTTAGCAACTGACGTGTTTTTTACGATAAAAAAAGGAAAATATTAAATAACAATGTAAATATAGGTATTGAACAGCGTTATTATTGCAGTTACGGTGGTTGAACTCAATTGGATAGACATATTCTTCTACAAAGCATATGTCTGTATCCCGTTGCATTCATACCACTGTAACAGAAATAACAAGAGGCCCAGAGGGCCTGTATCGCTCACCTGAATATTTCAGCAGTCATAGCAAAATATTCTCATTAAATATTATACTGAACCACAAATATTTCACTCGCGAACTTTGTCAGCTCCATCTGTTGAAAGGTTAGCTATACCAGCCAAATATTAGTATATGATTCTATGCTTTTTGGTTCTTATTCAGAAGTTGTTTGAAGTTTTTGACATATTTTTGCCCGAGACCTTGATAGTAGGTCAAGTTCATTTTCCTTCTCAAACTTTGTTGGCTCTATCCCAAGAAGCTTAACAAGCCAAATTTTATGAATCCATTACTTTGGTTCTTCAGAACAAATCATTTGAAATGTTGTTGACCTCTGTGACCTTTAAAGTAGGTTGAGGTCATTTTCATTTGCAAACTTTGGTGAGCTCTATCCCAAGAAGCCACCAGCCAAATATTATGATTCTATGCCTTTCGATTTTGACATATTTGACCCTAGTGGGTCAAGGTCATTTTCATTTGGATACTTCGTCGACCTAAATTCAAAGAAGATACCAGCCAAATATTAAGATTTGTTGGAAGTGTTTGACATATTTTACCCCTGTGAACTTCATAGCAGGTCAAGGTAATTTTCACGCGCAGACATTGTCAGGCTCTTAAGTATGAAGCTTTCAGCCAAATATCATGACTCTAGGCCTGTCCAATATTCAGAAGAAGTCGTTTGATGTGTTTGACATATTTCACCCATATGACCTGGAAAGTAGGTCAAGGTCATTTTCATTCTTAAACTTTGTTCGGCTCTTACCGACAAAGCTTTCAGCCAAATATCATGACCCATTTGAGTAAGAATAATGGAATGGTTTATTAGAAAAAAGTCTTGTAAAATTCCAATCGTCATTTCTTATTATAGGATGTGGAGCATGCATAGGCTCCAGTAAAATATTTCTAACAAAGTAGATTTTGGAAATATGCTAATGGTATGCTTAGCGAGGTAGTGAAGAAAATTACCATATGTTACGATACCTGGCAGCCCATGTTCGGCGAACTGAGAAAACATATGAACGAAATAACGTTTCAACAGGGATTACCGAATGACAATCAGTTCAAGATAAGGAGCGAAAGTGATGGTCATAAGTTATTGGTGATAGACGATTGTATGGCCGAAGGCTGAAATCTCACCACCAACATTTGACGGTAATGTTTCTAATCCAGAATGTGTTCCAGAAAGGAAAGGCCTGCATGCGCACGTTAAGTCTAAACATGCAATACAGGCCGCAACATCAAGCAGATGTGGTTATTTACTAATAAACGTTTCACCAGCACCTACTGAAGTGAATATAGAGGGAGACGACGCAATGATTGTTATAATGGTGGCTCCAGAAGTTTTGTAAAACACAATGCTAAAAAAAGAACAATAACTGTTCAAATTCTTTTCAGATTTATTTCATTTTTCTGTGTGATTATTTTCAAAATAATCCCACGGAACATAAAGGAACATATGTAATAACTGAGGATGGGAGGAACTCGCCCTCTAGAAGGGTGATCTTAACAAAGTAGTCATACAAAAACCTTCTCCATACAAATTACATAGTAATTATTAATACAAATAAATATTTCAATCATATGATTACAGGTATCAACTGAAGTGTTAAGTACTTTATATAAGCAACGACTTGGTAAATGAGGAAAAAACTATGAAAATAAAGACAAATTGAAATAACTTAGAGTATTTCAATCAAATCAAACTATACATTTGAAAAGACAAAGACAATGTTATTTTTACTTCAAATAAAAAGTTATTTTGAACTTTTTATAAGGATCAATAACAGGAAAATGCTCAACAAATTATTTATGAAGCAGTCACATATATATATGAATCCCTGTTAAAAATAACAATATTTCCACTGCTGTTCCTCTTTAAGGAGGCATTTGGCCTTGGACAAAAAATATCCAACTAGATGTTATGAAACCAAACCAATTTTTTACTATTACAGAAGCATACTTGCCAACTCTCCATATTTATTAGGAAGACTCCCGATTTTGGACCCTAAAATTGACCATTTTCATCCAGTGAATTTGTTAAACTATTCCTATTTTCTAAGCTCTGATGATTTCATTTGAATGAACAGCTCAAAAGATGTCATTTACAAGTGTTGTTTTCCACTAGGGTGTACATACACACATTTTATTTATGTTTTTTATTCTGAGCATGCGCAATCTCCCCCATGGAAAATTTAAAAAGTTGGCAAGTATGCCATAAAAAATGTTCCTGAGAAAAGAAAACAAATTAAATTGCTCATTTCCTTTGTAAATAATTTATTTGTATTTTACTTCAGCTTCTTGCTTCTTTATCAGGAACATAATGCTTCACTAGTAAAATTTTCATGATCTGTTGGAGACGAAATTGTCATGACCAGTTGGAGATTCATTTTCAATCATCAAACAGCATATCAGGAACGATTTTAGATCAGACAGCAAGGAAGGAAAAATTGGTGGATGATATCAATATAGCTGTCCAACTGGATGATAATGATGTCAAAACTGCTACTTTCACTTTCCATATGCTTTGGATTGAATTTAAAAGTTCTCTGTTTACATTTGGCGCAACCAAAAATGAGTTTCCTTCATACATGTACCACAACAGCCTTTGTTCATGAACATGAATAATGTATTGCTTTGTTTTGTAAATAAGTAAATGAGAGAAAAATGAAAAAAAGTACAGCGAAGCAGTAAACGATAATTAATAACATGGCATTTTATTTACAATTTACAGATATTCATCAGCAGTATATAATATAGAATTATGTCCTCTACGTAAAAATTGCCAGATGCAAATCCTGCAATGTATTGTATAAATCTGGAAAATTATTCTAATGGTCAAACCATTTCCTTTTCTTTCTTGTAAAGTAACACCAATCCAACATCTATGACAATTTTCCCTTAAAATGACTCAAAATACAGATATTTTCAGGAATCACAACATGTGTACCATTTTTTTTTTTTTTTAAATATTAGATAATAGTTTTAAACATATTTTTGTGCAAATGGGATAATAGTAATGAAAACTTGTAGTGCTGAAGTAATCTAAATTTGTGAAATTAACTACATAAAAAATAATTAAATACTTTACAAATGTTCAAGAATTAAGAATTTAATTTTTTTTCAGAGTTAGAGTTTTTGAAACAAAAACAAAAGATACAAAAAATAGAATTGAATTTCAAAGGTCTTGTTTTTGGAAAAGAAATTAAAATGATACTGGTTCCTGAGTCTAGAACTTGTCTTGGGGAAAATTATTTTTATTATCTATGTATTTAAAAAATTCTTTTCATCAAAAATAAGTACACTGTTACAGATTAACAAGAAACAATGCTGACACACTAATGTATAGAGGTTTAGAAATCCAACAAAATTACCAACGCGAAACAATGCCCGATGTATAGAGGTTTTGAAATCCAACAAAATTACCAATGCGAAACAATGCCCGAGATATTGTAGAGATAACACCTGATTAAAAAGTACCAACTGAAGGTAACTTTTGTAGATTCTCATTTAGAAGTATAAAACTAATATTTTTTTGTAGTACATGTATCAGCTAATTTATTAACAAGGATTTCTTTAATTTTAGTGACATATAATGATACATTTGTATCTTGCTAATTTGCAATAAATAATCTGATAAAATGGAACTTTATAACAGAAACTGAACATCCTCTTTGTCAATCTGGAACACATATTTGATTTAAGATTTTCCCCTGGCAACAATGCATCCAGACTAATGAGGGACTGTTTTATCTGATGATCATGTCTTCTATTTCAGAGTTTTTAATAGTTCAGGATATCAGCCAATTAAGATAGGATATTTTTTAAGTTGGCAAAATACAGACAAATACATAATGCCAAAACTTAAACATTTTACTTTTTTCAGCACTATCCACACTTGAAATTTAAGAATACTTGCATAGATAGTATGTTCATAGTTTCTATATGTTACTTATATCAATTACATACAGAACAAATTTAAAGACTTCAAAAAATCTGTAATTCTACAAAAATCAATAACATATTGCGGAAGTTGGGTAAAAACGTAGAAAGTAACTCTACAACTTAACAAGTGCTGGGCATAAAGAAAAACAAAAACATATAATAAATGTGAATCTGAAAAAATGTTACATTGCTAGAAAGATATTAACTCACCACCATCCAACAGCAAGCCTCTCAAAGATCATTTGGGTGTGCATTGTCCAATTATAATAGGCCCATATCCATGTTAACTAAATAATTCATTTTGTTTTTGTTGAATTAGGACCATGGTCTAAAGTGTGGTTTGGAAGACTGCTGATGATAGGCGATTCAAATAATAGTACAATGTAGCTAGAAATTCAAAAATACAAAGGCACAATGATAATTATATGTACGTGCTTGTACATATTTTAATGGAATCCACACAGTATATATGACTGAATCAACAGTATATGACTGATCTAACTTGTAATGTTTCACATACATTACAAATGGAGTTGTCCTGTATCTGATCCTTACGATTTGAGGGGGAAATGACCCTGAAACCACTTATGAATAATCAAAACATAAATGGCATCATATTTCTAGGTTTTGTACATTCTCTTATTCCTTGTATAGATCAAAACTAAAAATTTATAGAATCTTAAAAATAATTCATTTTCAAAAAAATAAATTGGAGATAATATGCAGTCGTAAAGATGTTTTAAAACCAATTTTACAATTGGTTTAAACAGTTATTATTTATTTCTTTTACAATTTTTTTTTTTTTTTCATTTGAAGTTTTACTATTATTGTTTGTAATGCAAGCAAATATTGAACAAGCAATTTTAAAAATAAAATCAAGAATTTATACAAAACACTTGGTACTTTATCACGACAAAGTACTTGTGTAAATGTTTTTTATATATATCACAGTAAAACACATAATTCAGTACATCAAAATTACGCTGTGAGATGAAATATGACATCTTAAGTAAAACCCTATTTCACCAGTAATAGTGACTTGTTCTAGTTCTAGTAAAAAAATCCCCCTTCAACATGTAGCAGATCTGGACTGCTGGCCCTACTTAAAAGTTGGCTAACCCTTTCATCACTGAAGGCGATAATGGACTCATCCAGATCAATGCATGGTAGAGTCTACCAAAGTTACATAGGGGTGAAAGGAGAGTTCAAGGATTAACCAGTGGTTAGTGAAAATTCAAATTGTTGCCAATTATAAGAAGAAAAAGCTTTCAAAGCAAAATAAATCCTCAAAACACATTACATTAATCTCTCTAAATCAACCTATAGCACTGAAATCATATCAGGTGTTCTTGATTTTGTTTCATTCACATTTGAAATTTTCACAAACCACTGGTCAACTCTCACTAACTTTTGAGTAACTGGGGCCAGGTGACTAGTATAGATCACTCAATATGTTGAAAATCTGTCTAGAATTCCAAAGTTACAGATTTAAGTTGTTGTCCAACCTATATTCTGTGAACGACTCCACAAAGTCCATAACGACAGGACAGAGTAACACATTCTGTGAACGACTCCACCAAGTCCATAACGACAGGACAGAGTAACACATTCTGTGAACGACTCCACAAAGTCCATAACGACAGGACAGAGTAACACATTCTGTGAACGACTCCACAAAGTCCATAACGACAGGACAGAGTAACACATTCTGTGAACGACTCCACAAAGTCCATAACGACAGGACAGAGTAACACATTCTGTGAACGACTCCACAAAGTCCATAACGACAGGACAGAGTAACACATTCTGTGAACGACTCCACAAAGTCCATAACGACAGGACAGAGTAACACATTCTGTGAACGACTCCACAAAGTCCATAACGACAGGACAGAGTAACACATTCTGTGAACGACTCCACAAAGTCCATAACGACAGGACAGAGTAACACATTCTGTGAACGACTCCACAAAGTCCATAACGACAGGACAGAGTAACACATTCTGTGAACGACTCCACAAAGTCCATAACGACAGGACAGAGTAACACATTCTGTGAACGACTCCACAAAGTCCATAACGACAGGACAGAGTAACACATTCTGTGAACGACTCCACAAAGTCCATAACGACAGGACAGAGTAACACATTCTGTGAACGACTCCACAAAGTCCATAACGACAGGACAGAGTAACACATTCTGTGAACGATTCCACATGTTAGTTTAGATACAGTCACAGATATACAACCCTATCTGGTATATTACTCCCTGTGCAAGAACTAGACCAATTTATCACCCGAAAAAAGTCAACTGTTTTAATACAGTTGGATGAACACAAGAAGACTACACTATCTACTACTGTCAAACAGTGAACACAATGTGAACACACTTATCTATAACCCTGTCATTTAAAGCCATTTTTTGAGCTTGCTGATGTACAAGAAAAAGACAACAGTTTTTACAGCATATATTTTATGCTTATAGCATATAAGGTATTAACATGATTTGATTAAGACTTAATTGAAAGAAAAAAAGAAAACTGAATTCAAATGACAGGGTTTTGGTAGCAAAACTTTGGCACAAGCAAAAATAAAAATTGAATAAAATCAATATATTATTTTTTTTATATCTTCATGAAAAAAATATTTATACCATCTCCTTTAAATATTTGGTACCAGGCATTGAAGCAAGTGCTCAACTATTACGTTTTCTTTCTATCATTATTTGTGGCCATTCCATTCCTTCTCCTATAAATGACATTGAATATATAGGTCAAACTTTATTCCCTAAAACAATTAAAAATTCATCTATTTGTATTAAAACAAACTTTATGAAATTATTTTTATTGAAATTTTGTATTGATGCAAATCTAATATCTTCCGTTAAAATTACATTTGTGATTTTTCTTGATTTAAAAAAATAGTAATAATTAAACTTTCAATAAAGAACAAGCACTAGCTGAAAGATCAACCTGACAGGAAAGTCTCTAAGGGAACGCAAAACACACATGTACAGTATTTAAGTTTTCAAGTTTGAAATAACAAAGTTTGACTGCAAATCATATTACAATGTCACTATTAAACATGTATTAATTAGCACAGGGATCTGAGAATAAAGGGGGACTTCAATCATCTAAAACATCCAGGAATACAGTCGAGACCTAGGAAGTTAACCAACAGTGATGACATTTTCTAAAGCATTGATATTTCTATAAAATATACCTAACAGATGGCAGATTTCTAACAACCCAGGCAACCTGAAACTATGAATAAATCTCCTGTCTAAATTACCTTGGTTCTCGGGTCCCTGTGTATACCATTCTACAATAAAAGCAGTCATGCTGTATAGAACAAGTGTATTCTTGTTCAAATAAGGAGTCAAGAGCTTATCTATCCAATGGCATACTTTACTAGATCTTGTGCTGACCTATATACATGAAAATGACATTATGTAGGAAAAAGAAACTAAATAAGACTGGCCAATCACAGCACACATTACAAAGTTACTAAACCAATCACAGGTAAGCTTACAAACATGCTGTGGTGTACAATTATAAAAATGATCAAGAAATTGAATTGTGTAAATAAACATTATACCTGGGTATATATCATGTATAATTATTTACATCTGAAAGGAGTCGGTATATGTAACACACAATTTGGTCACTCTCTTCAGTATTTAGAGTCATTTTCCCCTCTTTTTTGTATCACATGTAAATATACTTTTGAGGTAATGGGAAATTTCTCCTGTCTGATGTCGGCGAGATCCAATAGGTGTTCAGCTTACAAACTCAGCTGGCCTTTGAAGTCATGTGACTTGATTGTCAATTGCTAAAATTGGTGAGATCCAATCACAAATCAGCTTACAAACTGAAGATGATTTTGATGTTATGTGATGTTCATGCAGTACTCCTCTCACAATGGTGGTGATCTGACAGACGTGTGTAACAAGAGTTTTCATTGGACGAAATTGAGAGGTTAAACATGCATGGATCATCAGGCAAATAAGTTCAACAAGTTCAAAAGGTCACAACATGAGTTAAAAGACGAAAAAATGCCGCACAACATCAATTAAGCTAGCATCACTGCAACTGAATATTCCGTTCTCCTAATTATGCAAACGAGGATAAATATAGGCACAACAAGGACATAGATCGGTAACATAGATCTATCAAATCAAATTATTATCATATTTTCAGCTCCACTAAAGGAGAACAAATAAATAAATACAATTCTAAAGTTTCTAAATAACAAATTCCTAAATGAAACTCTTTCAAATCATTCTTTTTTATTATTTCAACACATATTTCTCCTACCTCAGTAATCGTCAAGTTCAACATAGAGTTCAACTCTATATCATATGCAAATAATTATAATACTCTTTAAATACAATGTCTCTAGAACTTCAAAAACACGAAGCACATGACTACAGTGCGTCTGACACAAATTGATAACTTTATGATGAAATCGTTCCTTACGCTCAATTATAGTTGATAACTTTATGATCAGTTATATTTGTTCTACTGTTTATCATAATTTCCATAATCACAAGAGCATCAAGACTAGAACACAAGATATGTAATGGACCTTCTTAAAAACAAAATTAATACGATCGGTGAACAGTTTGTTTGAGAGTGCTAAGGCCCGTCTTTATGGAATTTCAGCTACTTTTTTATGAAAGGAAAGTGTCCATGTTTAGAACTAGAATGTGTCCATTTGGCATTATATCGCATATATGGTTGAGTGACGTTTTGTTTTTCATATTGTGAGATATACAGTTGGAAGTGGCCTATTTCACATCCTGGCATTTACAGTCATATATATATATGTAGTAATTCTAACTGTGGTGACAAAATGAGATTGCCAAATTTGTCCTTGTCGCATATGTATATGACATACGGCAATTTTAAGGAATTTGTATCCTACAAACATATGTTTGTAAGGATCCAGTGTGGGAAATAACCGTTAATCTTACTTCTTTAAACCATATATATGCAAACATTTTTGGGAAAGAACATGGAATGCAATAAAACATTTAAATGTAATTTATATATACATCACGTTGTAAAATATGCAGGTAAAATTCTCACCTGGAAAAAAACATTCTTCTCAACATATTTTTCAGTTTGACCCGACCCCCCTCCCTCCCAAAAAAAGAAAACCCATTGAGAAACATTCAATTTCTTTTAAAGAAGCACACTGCTTTAATATGACCTGCATATCTTTTTCCAAAAGAGTTTAACTCCATAGAATATTATGTCGCATATCTCTGAATTGTAATTATGACTGAAAATATTAATGGCACAATATTAAGATACACCAATACTAGAATATGCATGCCTTGTTAACGTGTATCGAATTCTCAATTCAAAATTGAAAATATTTGAAGGGAGGTAATTCCCAATAAAATAATGGATGTATAACTTGTAAGGTAGTTATGACCTGAAAAAAGGTCAAATGTTAACATATTTTATGTGAATGAAAGCAGAAACCATGAATATCCCGGAGACATATTTGAACAAGCGCTATGCTAGGTTGTTTTCAATCCTTTTGTTATGCATCTTATGTTTGCGAAATAATTTTTCATTTTCAAAAAAGACGAAAGAAAAAAATCAGCAGACTTATAACCATTGGTATGCATGCATATATACACAGAGGTACAGATGCTGGGCCAGTGATTTTGGGGGACCACAAGTATTTGAGTCAGAAGGTCAAGCTTTTCTGCAAGCTTTTGAGAGCTCACTAGATGTCTCAGTAATTTGACTCATCAAATTGATTCTTCACTTGAAAATTCCTACAAAAATCACTAAGAGTATTACATGGAATTATTGATTGGACCCAAAGTTAGGACATAAAATGAAAGAGGAAAAATGTGATGCTACACTGTATTATTTTGCTATTTTCTTTTTTTTTAAGAATTTTCCAGTGGCATAAGTACATGTATAACAATTTATGTGATATTCTTTTAGAGCCAAATATCGACATAACATCATGACTAGTAAACCAAGGAGACTAACACTGACGAGAGATTTCTGTCCTAACAATTTTGGGCAAGTGGAGTTAAAATTGAATGAACACTAAATATGGGAATAATACTAACAAAACATATTCATGTAATATCTTATTACCTCCCTTTGACAGTGTTGCACAGGGGCAAGACAGATAAAAAAAAGTTACAGTCATACCTATAGGATTACCTAAAATGAATCATATAAGTAAATTAAATTATGTTTTGCCCCTGTGCAAGTTTTCGTTATATAAGGTCAGCACTCTCAATATAACTGATCATGGTCAGTCAATTCTGTTGTGTTTATAATGGGGCTGCAACGATACGCATATCTCACGATATAATATGTATCACATTACGATGCTTACGGTACAATACCTATCAGGATAAACATATCTGCTCAAAAGGTCAACTTCATAATAATTAAGTGAAGGATTTTAAAGAGTTTTGTTAAAGACTTCAATATCAAAATATATACTCTACAGTTGCATTGTTTTTGGGTATGACTGCACAGTGGACCGAATCTTTAATGAAGGATTCAAAAACATCAAGTAAACTCTTAGAGTTTGATAATAATAAAAGGATAAACAATTTCAGAATCATTTGTGTATCGCAATAAAGGTAAGAAAAACAATTTGAAATGATACACAAGAAGTATCACGATACAATATGGTACGGTACAACATATCGTCGCAGCCCTAGTTTTTAGGAACAAAGTTCATGTTATCTAATATATTAGGTACCATAAAAGGGTTGAATAAACATTTAATGCTTATCATGACTGTATAAAATTACTTAAAATCACATTATTTTATGCCTTCACATCCTTTTATATAAATATTCTGTACTTATTCAGAATATGCCACTTTTTCGAATTGAGGTCAATGCACCTAAAACTCCTCCCCCAGACGCTCCACTTCCAAATATGGCAGAAGTGGATGTCGACTTGGAAGCCTCAGATCCGCCCTCTGTTGCGGAAGCAATTGTCACAAGATTATCTACAGACGATGATTGTGTCGGAACTGAACACACAGACACTTTGGGAATCGCACCTTCCTGTGAAACTTTTGTATTATCATGAAGATGTGTAGGCAAGGACACCACTGAGTCTGACCTTTGACCTAATTTCCCGAGATAACCATACAATGAAAAGCCAGTGTTTTTTATGCGACTGAGGATATTTGCTTCCTGATAATCCACACCAGACAATGAATTTGGTTTTTCCGCAGACATTTTTGTGGGAGAACTTGTTGTCAAGGAAACACTTGCTCCCGAGGATGATGTCACAGTTAAAGCTTGTGCTTTTGACTTTTCCAGGTCGAAATGAGACTCGGACACCAAACAGCCTGACCTGCTCTGTTTGGACCCCGATGTTTGGGGTTTATTGTCTGTAGGGCTTAGGAAGTCACGCTCATTTAAGATGGCTGCGAGTCCCAGCGACATGCTATAGGTCGTAGTTCCACTTGACTGAACCATTGATGACAATCGTGGCGTTGACAATTTTGTTGATGTTGATCTACAAATACACAAAACAAATGTTTTCAATCTCTGACTGATGCTAATTTTCAGCAAGAATCCTTCATGGATAAACATATTACATTTTATATCAATTTAAGAGTTTTATCTGCAAACAATGTTTATAAAAGATGTGATGTTACTGATATTTGTAAAGTTACATGCAATTTTTTTGCAGTAACAGGCAAATCTGTGATTTCAACATGAAATTGATAATTTTCAGTATCTGCACACAATTCCAAATTCAATTAAGGCAGTGTTATTATGGTTTATTTTTTCAGCATGATACTACTGTTGTAGTATACATGTACAATTGATGAACCAAAGCTTTTTATAGGACTGGTATATCATTTAGTTTTCAATGTCATGACCCCTTTTTTATCAGCTTCAGTGACAAATTCAGATCAAATTTTAATTACAACCTATACCAATTGAAACATGCATATTTCAGAAAAACAATAAACCAATATCGAATCAATTCCCCATAAAATAAATATCACCCCGATATTTAAAAATGATTGCCTGAAAATTGATTATTAACGCTTGCTCTAATGACAATTTATGTCATCATTATGAAGGGGGAAAAAAGTTGAATGTTTAAACAGTGGCAAATATTTCCCAGTAATTACAGTATATAAAAGTCTGTCTTTTGATATATATATATATAATCAAGAATTTACAATTGAGGGATACAAACAAGTACTGTTATCATCATCCAATCACCGTCTATCAGTGTAAAGTTTATTGACTAATACAGGACAAACTATATACACCATATCATGTACATGTAGATGATTTTTACACTAATGAGTTGTAAAACTTGCAGTAATAAAAATGAATTAAACAAATGCTTAATTAATGGTCATATTTCTATGAAGTTCAAATGAGATCGAGGCAGGTCTGATTAATCCTCTGATGCAATTAATGTTTTTGAGATTTTCCTGTCCGAGCCAGAAGCATTGAAAGCATACGTCTGGAACACTACATGCATTACCACTGTCAGTGAAAATATAATCTTACGAGGAAACTGTCAGGATGTATGGTTAAAGAAGACAATGCTTTTACAGTAAAATTGTGATTCACTGTGCACAATATCACAAATCAAATCATGCTGTTTAGGTTGGTGACATACGCAGCACTCTTTCCGGTCAAACATGTGCATGCACTATACTAACCAAGGCAACAGATGTGAGATTAAGACCAAACACTATCTCCTATCATAGCCAAGCCAAGAGTGGTGAGAACCTTCCAAACCATACCCTAGCTGTACTGCAATGCTAGCCAATTGTAACACTATATAAGCTTAAATCAGGAGAATCAATTACAACAGGTTTCAGGCAGGTCCTGAAGAAGCCCGATACTGTGGGCGAATCCGGTCGACAAACAACCAAATATAATTAGAAGAAGCCTGTTGTGATTGATTCTCGGAAGATTTCAATGTGCATACAGAATCTTACAGAATGACTTTGATTTTCACCAGAAAATCAACATTTTTTTTTATAAAGAATAGAAAAATCAAATTTTATAAGAAAATTCTCAATAATAATCAAAAAAGGAAAAAAAAAGGTATTTTTTTACAAAAAATTATAAAAAACATTTGATTTTTGAGGAGGGGGAGTGGGGTTAGTCGCAGGGGAGTTACAATTGACTAGCTTTATGTCCAAAAGATTTAAAATAGCAATACAACGCCCTAGAAAACTTACTCTACACAATCTATGTCAGAGTCAAGCTCCGATCCATCCTCGCTGTAAACAAATGGCGCCACATTAACACAATCTATCTACAGTAGTTCCACCTAGTGATTGATATCTTAGGGAAGGGGAGATAAATAACGTTGATAAATAATTGTATTAAGAATAAAAAAAAAATTAAAACATGCCTGCATTTAAAAACTGATCTAAAAGTTTAATTTGATATGAAAAATCTTCAATGGCGAACTGTATGTGTGAAAAATAATACATAAATATTTGAAACAAAATAAGAAATGTTTTATTAATAAACATTCAAATGATATAAATATATTGGACTACTAACAAACAGGACTCATGCATATTCACAAAATATAATTAAACTTGATATGATCACTAAAATTAAAATAAACAAAAATCATCAATTCAATTTAGCAAATAATAGCAAAATCAAAAATGTTTCACAAAAAAACAACGAATAAACAGCACATCATCTGAATGAAGTAGAACAACTAATAGGATGGGTGGCGACCCAACAGACTTGTATCTCACTTACCCAACAAGCTGGGTGGGATGTTTGACCGTGGAGTTGGTGTAGGTGTTAATAGTGGAACTCTCCTGGAATCTTTTGTAGCACTCTGTGTTGTCCTCGTAATCATCTGTAACACATCAGACATTGAGTTATCAGTGGATTCCTTTAAATGTCATGTCATTTTCTCGGAGAAAAACTTGACAAAGGGAATATTGTGATATAAAGGGAGATGTAATATAAAGGGAAATATGATACAAAGGGAAATATAATACAAAGGGATAGGTGAGATAAAAGGAAATATGATACAAAGGGAAATATGATATAAAAGGAAATATGAAAGAAAGGGAAATATGATACAAAGGGATATGTGATATAAAAGGAAATATGATATAAAGGGAAATACGATACAAAGGGAAATATAAAACAAAGGGATATGTGATATAAAAGGAAATATGATACAAAGGGAAATATGATATAAAGGGAGATGTGATATAAAGGGAAATATGATACAAAAAGAAAATGTCAGATTAAAGGAAAATGTTTTTTAGTAATTTTTTTACTCAAAATTATGCAAATCTGTAAATCTTGGCCCAGAATTATATTTAAGAGTTAATGATGCATGCTGCATTCCTGTGACATCAATTTTCTTTTTCTCATTTTAATCAAATGGTAATTTGATTTTGCTAATTTTAAAATAACACAATTAAAATGTGGGAAATTGTCTATCAATGTATCTTCCATGAAATATTTTTTATAAAAAGTATCTAATAAATAATTGTATTAAGAATTACTTAATTAAGTATTCTCAATCCAATACTTTTTATTTATTTTTTCCAAACATGCTGTAGATAATTAACCAACTTGAAGTTAAGATTAACAATCATTAAATAAATGGATAGGTTTCCTAATTTGGAGATTTTATGAAAAAACATTAATAAATGGTACAGTATTGTGACTTTTAATCTAAAATCTAAATTCAATGAATCTGAAAACTTTCCTATTTATTGATGATTTAACTGATACTTTGTACATGTTGAAGGGATCAAATTCTCCCAGATAACAAAAGACATTGCAACGATGTCAATGAAAAGATCCCCTTGTTAATCCTGTAACATTTAAATGTTCCTACCATCTTCCTCGAAGTCACTAAGATTGTACACTTCTTCATCCATGTCTAGTTTCCTCTCCCCCTTAATCTGAACACCAGGGCGCGACTCAAAGATCCCTCCCAAGTGGGGTGTGGCTAGCTGTTGCCAATGGCGCAGGGTCACAGAACCTAGGGGCAAAACACACAAAGATCGTTAACATAGTACATATACTGCATTAATTCAGGAAACAGACATACAGATTGTCTTACCTGACTGCAGGTAGTGTTATTAATGTAACTGACACATTTTGTATAAAAGATCTTTTCAAAAGTAAACAACCACATAATATGCTATTCATTTTAAATTTCAAAAGATGAAATTTTGGCCAGCTTGAAACACTTGTTTGACAGCAGAAAATTTCAATGACCAGTTATATCACATGATAGTTTCAAAAAAAAAAAAAAAATATAAATTTTATCATGAACATTCACAATACATCACATTTATTCTGTTCAAGTTGAAATGACATTTTCAAATTTCAAGAAAATGACTGAAAAGTAAACAGTTTAAATATTTAACTTGCACTTTAATATATTAATGATTTACTCAAATTAAATGTCATCTGTTATATTTATGATAAACCTACATAAGCTAACTTAGCTTTTCCCCTTAGTGGGGACTTTGATAACCCTAGACTTATTCCCAGTATTCTTAACAATGAAATCTTCAAAACTTCAATACTTGGACAAAAATTTGTCCCATTTCTATTAAATATTAGACGTATAGATTAATTTAGGATTCAATTTTCTAAAACTAAACAGTCAGATGCAAAATACTTTTTCAGTATTCAATAGATAACATAACAGGTAATCTGCAAAATATTCACCATTTCATATTCATATGTTGGAAAAAGAATCATCATTTTTATTTGCCAGTTGGGAACTCGGACCTACCCTCTAGTGGTTTGATAATTTTGAGCTTCTCCGGAAGTCGATAATGTGGGTTGTTACTCCCTGGATACGAAAGCTGGGAGAATCCAGATCGGAAACTTCCAGTAGACAGCGTACTGTCTGGAGTTTGACACATGCCAGTAGTATCAGTGGATTCCTGGGCATCGGACCGGCTGGTGTCAGACCTGTTATAACAGAGGTACAAATATCCTGTTAGTATCAGATATAACGAAGTATCACATGTCATGTTAGTATCAGATATAACAAATATCCGATATAACAAAGTACCACATATCCTGTCAGTATCAGATATAACAAAGTACCACATGTCCTGTTAGTATCAGATATAACAAATATCAGATATAACAAAGTACCACACATCCGGTTAGTATCAGATATAACAAAGTACTACATATCCTGTTAGTATAAGGTATAATAAAGTACCACATATCCTGTTAGTAGTAGATATAACAAAGTACCACATATCCCGTTAGTATCAGATATAACAAAGTATCAAATGTCCTGTTAGTATCAGATATAACAAAGTTCCACATATCCGGTTAGTATCAGATATAAAAAAGTACCACATATCCTGTTGGTATCAGATATAACAAAGTACCAAATATCCAGTTAGTATCAGATATAACAAAGTACCAAATATCCTGTTAGTATCAGATATAACGAAGTACCACATATCCTGAAGGTATCAGATATAACAAAGTACCACACAGCCTGTTAGTATCAGATATAACAAAGTACCAAATATCCAGTTAGTATCAGATATAACAAAGTACCACCCATCCTGTTAGTATCAGATATAACAAATATCCGATATAACAAAGTACCACATATCCTTTTAGTATCAGATATAACAAAGTATCAAATGTCCTGTTAGTATCAGATATAACAAATATCCGATATAACAAAGTACCACATATCCTTTTAGTATCAGATATAACAAAGTATCAAATGTCCTGTTAGTATCAGATATAACAAATATCCGATATAACAAAGTACCACATATCCTGTCAGTATCAGATATAACAAAGTACCACCCATCCTGTTAGTATCAGATATAACAAATATCCGATATAACAAAGTACCACATATCCTGGTAGTATAAGATATAACAAAGTACCACATATCCCGTTAGTATCAGATATAACAAAGTATCACATGTCCTGTTAGTATCAGATATAACAAATATCAGATATAACGAAGTACCACATATCCTGTTGGTATCATATATAACAAAGTACCACATATCCTGTTGGTATCAGATATAACAAAGTACCATATATCCCGTTAGTATCATATATAACAAAGTACTACATATCCTGTTAGTATAAGGTATAATAAAGTACCACATATCCTGTTAGTATTATATATAACAAAGTACCACATATCCTGGTAGTATAAGATATAACAAAGTACCACATGTCCTGTTAGTATCAGATATAACAAAGTTCCACATATCCGGTTAGTATCAGATATAAAAAAGTACCACATATCCTGTTGGTATCATATATAACAAAGTACCACATATCCTGGTAGTATAAGATATAACAAAGTACCACATAACCTGTTAGTATAAGAAATAACAAATATCAGATATAACAAAGTACCACATATCCTGTTAGTATCAGATATAACAAAGTATCACATGTCCTGTTAGTATCAGATATAACAAATATCAGATATAACAAAGTACCACATATCCTGTTAGTATCAGATATAACGAAGTACCACATATCCTGTTGGTATCAGATATAACAAAGTACCACATATCCTGTTAGTATCAGATATAACAAAGTACCACATGTCCTGTTAGTATCAGATATAACAAATATCAGATAAAACAAAGTACCACATATCCTGTTAATATAGGTAAATATCCCACTGAGTAGATATACTGGTTTTGGCTGTAGGTATACCAACTGATGATATGATTTCATCTAAGTTTACAATGCCCTAACCATCTATTTAAGATACAGAAAAATATTGATATTCAGCTTTTAAACAAATCCAATACCTCTAAGTCTGCCACTTGTACCATTGGTTTAGAATTTGTTTAATTTTTGTTTTCTTTGATTTTAGATTTTCAGAGCAAAATAACAAATTCACCATAGAGATAGATTTTATACAGGTGGCATATATACAAATACCCTGAAAATCGTTTACCAACCTGTGCCTTTGTCGTTTCCGCTTTTCCTCATCCTCAAAGAAGTCTTCCTCGTTGAGTTCGTTAGCTCGACGTATGGATAACTTCCTCAGCGCCGTTTCCAGGTCATTAGAGCCGGGTATACCTGGCCGCCCAAGGCTGTGCTTCTTCACATCCCTGTTAGAAAGACATCACAAACCAAATACATGTAATCTGTTAAAATCCTGGTTGTAATACTTTTATCAATGAATATTAACACTCATGCTCTGGGTGTGTGGGTTACACAGTGGATGGTGTTAGCACTCGCCCTTCTGCTGAGGTTCACTTCCCAGATCAGACATTGAAAGGTATGGGGCCCCCAGCCAAAACAAGTCGTTTTTTTCTCTGGGTTCTCCCATTTTCTCTCACATTAAGACCTTGGCGTTACTTTTCCAACCAACAAGAGGAATTAGTATAAGTTGATAGAACTTGTTTCATCAATCATTGTAAAATAACAAGAGGCCCATGGGCCTAAACGGTCACCTGAGTCCTACAGTATTTATTTTTGTTGTTGAAATATGTACCAATTTGAGTACAAAATAGTTAAGTATAATGTTAACTTAAGTTTGTCAGGACCATGAGCGGATCATTCCTAGACCGAGTTTCAGTTAAATCGGCCTATTAGGACTTGTTTTAAAGTTTGAAATAGTTTTTCAAAATGGCGGCCGTGGTGGCCATATTGGATTTCTGATCAACCCGAAAAATAACAACACTTTGTCAGGACCATGAGTCGATCATTCCTACCAGGTTTGAGCTCAGCTAAAGCTCAGGTGACCTAAAAACTTAATTTCAAGTATTGAGGACATGTTAAACGCATGCAGTCCGTTTGTAATAAATCTAATGGATATTTGAGTTCCAAAAAAAGAAGAAGGGAAACTAATATGACGATTATGGTAATTTGTGTTGACTAGGATATTTAACCTCCTAAAAATTGGACAGAAAGGTCCAAGAACATTAGAGATGCTGCTGTACTAACCCATAAAGACTGTCCAGATCTGCTGTGTACCCATCACTCTGAACGGACTCGCATTCTGAGAAATACATTGAGCTTCGGTTGGACATTCCTGCGGAGGCTGTGCTGGGCCTTCCCACTGATGAAGCTGCTCCGGACATTCGGGGCGAATGAGCTCCGGACATTCGGGGCGAATGAGCTCCGGAATCCAGACTGTCGTTGAGACTAAGCGTAGAGAGTCCAGACATACAAGACATTCCGGAGATTCCGGACGTTTTCTCCGTTCCAAAGCTGTTACTGTTACTAATCCCATTGTGTTTATTGCTAGCCTTCTTTGCAGCCTTGGCGGTCTCAAAAATCCTCCAGTTGTGTACTCTGGAAAATGTAAAGTTTAGTCTTAATAGCGGTGTACAAACTAACAGTCAATGTGTGACATGTGTTAGCATTAGTCCCCTTTCAATTCCTTTTCAATCAGTATTATTGAACTATTCAGAATATCAATCAATGTATTCTTGTATACCTTTAAATGTGGTCAGCAGGCCTAGGGGTCCCCAACCCCCTCCCACTACCATTGTCATATTTTTAGTAGCTGTGACATTGATCATAGTAAATGTTTAAAACCTCTTTAATCACAGTCTAACACCATGTCAAATTTCTAAAAGATTTATTAGTCTTTGGATTCTAAGATAAGGACCGTACCCCCCATAGTCTATTTTAAGTGACCTTGACCTGAGACTGTTTTTAAACTCCTAATGCACATCGGCATATCATAGTAAATCACCAGGTCAAAATTTGTTTGGTCTTTTTGATTCTGAGATAATCTCTAGAAACCAGTGTGCTAATGGACGGACAGACAGATGAATGTATGGACACTGTGACTACTACAGGGCACCCACATCGCCAATGTCAGGCCTTAATTATTCTTAACTTATCACCAAAATGCTTATAATACCAAATGCTTTGTGTTAATAGAAAACAATTTTACTACCTATAGCACAGCATCAGAAAAGGAGTGAAAGGATACACACAATGACAATAACAATACTGCAAGTTAAGTGCTGACTTGAGGATTTTGATATGCTACTCACTTTCGTTCTGCTGGTGAGTACCCTACTGGGTAGTCTATTTCTGACTTGAGCGATGACTCGAGTTCGGAGGCGATGGAGTCATTGGGGATACTGAGAAGGGAGGTAGAGAGGTAGCTATGTTTAGCCACGTTGGGTTTATGTTGCCGTCGCAGCCTCCGCAACTCTTCCTGATTTTCCTCGAGTAACTCCAGGACCTCATCATGCTTGTCTTTGTACTCGGCTAGCTGTAATACACCAATCAAATACAAGTTTAGATCTATACCTGAAATGCACCAATCAAACAAGTTTACATCTATATATGAGTAGCCAATCAAATACAGGATTATACATTAAGGACCTGATACAGGCTTTTAAATTACCTTAGGGAAGCAACAGTAAGTTTCCCTTTACCTTACACTATTCAAATAATTTTGCATAATCTACTTTCACCCTTTTCTTTACAACATGTGTTCTTTACACAGAGAATAGATCTCTAAGAAGTGCTGTAAAAAAAACTACTGGCACATTTAATTTCCTTAAATTTTCTGAAATACTTTAAAAAACTTCATATTTTATATAATGTGCAACCTCTCATGTAATGGTGACCTAGAAAGCAACATGACCTTGACCTGCTTCATACTTATACATGTCACAAACCTCCTTTGTCAAGTGCTTCTGTGCAGACTGCGAGGCCTCAAGATGTTTCTGGAGCTCAAGGTTTTCGGCTGTTAACTGCGATATAAGAAATGGGACTTTAAAAAAAATTCTAGTCATTAATCAGTCCATTGAATTCTCAAACTCTGATATAAGAAATGGGACTTTAAAAAAATTTCTAGTCATTAATCAGTCCATTGAATTCTCAAACTCTGATATAAGAAATGGGACTTTAAAAAAATTTCTAGTCATTAATCAGTCCATTGAATTCTCAAACTCTGATATAAGTAATGGGACTTTAAAAAAATTTCTAGCCATTAATCAGTCCATTAAATTCTCAAACTCTGATATAAGAAATGGGACTTTTAAACAATTTCTAGTCATTAATCAGTCCATTAAATTCTCAAAATAATGCTGCTTGTTCATATTGCCGACTCGATAAAGAACCCCTGCGCACTTCCATATAAGTTGAAATTAAACGTTTACAAAAATAGTCATCAGTTTGGAAATGTGTCATACCAAAGTTTTACTTTATATACAAATAATATATTTATTTATTTAAGATGTGGCAACATTTCAAGACCGACTGGTCCCTTTGTCAAGCTATCAAATAGCATGTCTATCTTGACAAAGGGACCAGTCATTGAAACATTGCCACACGTTAACTACGTAAATTGTATGCGTATAAAGTAAAACTTTGACATTGAAATTAAACAGAATTGTTGCAATACAAAAGTTTGTTAAATTAAAATAAAACAGAAATGCCAACTCCTTAACAGCACTAAAGCATATCAAGGTTCACATTTCCTTTTTTCGTAACAATTCCTTTAACGTTATTGCAGAAGTAAACAAATAGGGAAGGCAAGGAGGCACTTTGTGGTGATCTCCACCGCCCCTCATTATATTGGAACTGGATTATCAGGACACAGAGTGGGTGAAATGATACAATTATACAAAGTTGAATAAAGGCATTAGGACTCTATAAAGCGGAATACTTACGACTTTGCATTTTCTCTGAAGGTCAACTAACTGTGCTAAAAGGTTAGTGATCTCCTCCTTCTGAAGGTAGGTTTCTTCTGTCTTTTGAGCAAGCTCCTGTGAGTAAACTGCGATCTGGTCTTTCACTTCACCTGCCAATCAAACACAAAACAATGTTACCTTGGGAACAGAGATCTACTTTCAGTTACAAAATGGAGGATCATCTAAATTCTAAAATTTATTAAAAAAAAAAAAAAAAAAAAGAAGATATTTTTAAAATGATTGTACATGCTTTAATTGCATGGAAATGGAACTTAAATAAAAAGTTTATGACATTAATACAGCTGAGTACTGAGGCAGAGAGTAACATACCAAGCTGTTCTAGACAGTCAGATACAAGTTTTTGTTCCTTTTCTTCGAAGTCTGATGTTTCAGCACTTAGTTGTACTGTCTGAAGTTAAAAGGACAAAAATATGTCAAATCTAATTTCTCCATGAGCTAAGTGTTTTCATCTAAATGTTTTCATTATTCATTATTTTAATACTAGATAACAAACTAATTTATCAATTGATTAGCATACAGACATTAAACCTTTCATCACTGTAGACCATAATGGGCTCATTCAGATCATTGCTTGATAGAGTCTACTTAAGTTACATAGAGGTGAAAGCTAAATATATCTTGATGATCTTTGATAACACCCTTATTTTGTGGTTACAAACTTACCTCAATGCGGAGTTTGACGTTTTCCTGCTCCAAGCTTTTAACCTTCTTTTGTAGACTTGAGGCCCCCAAGGCATATAGACCTTCAGTGTTTCCACTTTATAACAAATACAATATTCCTTAGTCACAGATTAACAAAAAACAAATTATACATTCGACTCTAGCATATCAAATCTTATGTCGGCTTCTTTATGAAACACAAGACTATTTATTTAAGGATTCCTGACCCACTGCATTTTTTATTTATTTTTGTATCTATAGTAATCTCCCCTTAATGTCATCTTGAATGTACCTATAGCACGGTCTAGCCAGAACACTTTCCTGTACTAGGCAGCTCAGTTGGATAGAGCGATTGTTATACAATCTGAAGTTCAAGCTTTGATTACCGGTCTAGTTCCGCTGATATTTTACACTCAATAACAATGTTGTTGATAATATTCTGTTTATTTCACCTTTATTATTTTCTAGTCTCACAAGGTACGGTTTTCTTTTTAAAAATGAGATATCAAAGCTATATAGTAATACTGGATAAAACCGTTTTCAATTTATAGTTACAGTCTTTAATCAATTGATTAAATGTACATCAAAGGATCATACTAGTCTTCTTGTCTCATCCAAAAGGTTGTGCACGCCGAGCCTTTAATTTTGTCAGGACATATTCCAGGGGTGTGCAGAGTGTAAATGAGCATAACCCTCTGGAGTATCGAAGATGCACCAATACAAGAAAGGACTTTTAAAAGAGCTATTAATAGCTAATTAACAGTTTACCTACATCAATCCAGCCATAAGATGGTACAATAACAAGGAGACCTTAAGGGCCTGTATTGCTCACCAAGAAACTTGAGCAGGACCAGATTTGGCAAACAGGCTAGTCAGAACAAATACAAACGCCTTTGCCTTATTGTTCATTAGATGAAGTTGTTTTAAGATTTTGATACAACTGACTGCTGTGACATTTAATGTGGATCCAGGTTAAGAATTTTAAAAGAACTGATAGCCACAGAAATTAATATAGTGAGTATCAATACATTAAGGCCTGTGTTTATTTAGTGTTTTTTTAAGTACTTGTGGAAGAACTTGGCAGACAGATGGCAGACAGACAATTTTACAATAGAAGCTGCAGTATGGCAAAAGCTTGACTTGGTTCCTCTGACCAGGTGAGACAATAAATTCAAGAATGTCACAGCGAAACAAGTACAACCTGAGATTTCCGTTTATGCACAATTTTGCTTTTCAGTGCATTTTCTCCAATGGCCTAACAATCATGTAGAGTTATGTGCCCTTACTTTGGAGAATCCTCTGTAGGTGTGCTGTCAGACTCCGAGTGGGTCAGAGCTTGTAGAAGCTCGTCCTTGCGAAGAATTTCATGTCTGAACTGGTTGAGCTGTTGAGAGTAAAACGAGAAGAAAATTTAGGAAATGTGTAACATTATATTGAGGTTTAAATGAACCTCAAATAACCAATTTTTTGGTACCATGGATAGTCAACAGCAAGATGAGCTTTTCAAACTTAAAGACATTGATGAAATTAAATTTCACAATACTTAGCTTAGATTTTCTACAATACCTTAACAGTTTCATAGATGTCTCAAGTGATTATCTAAAAATATTTCCCTGACAGCAGGCATAGATAATATAGAAATTTCATATAGATACCTGTTCAGTTGACTAGTTTAAATAGGTTGATTTTAAAATACAGATAGCATTAAATACAGTTGTAGCTTACCACTGGAGAAATTTTACAACAAAGGGAGATAACTCACAACATCACTAAGGGAGGTAACTCACTTTTTCTGTGGCTTGAGAAACCTGTTCTTCTAATGACTCATTTTTATCTGTTAAATCTTGATTTTTCTGGAGAAGTGTCTGGCCGATACGGGCAGCTAGTTCAAGGTCACGCTCTTTCTGGAAACAAATAAAAGTTAGTAATTAACAGTAATTAAATAGAATTATCAGCCCCTGAGACCATGCGCCGATCCAGTTTCCAATGTGGGCATAAATGTGATAGGTTTTCTTCACAATTCTTTAAAGGTGTAAGTGAATAAATTTTATGAATGCAAACACCTCTGCATTAGGTAGCATATAACTTAAAGATTGTAACTGAAAAATGTCTAAGGTAATAAGAAGGTAAATAGAATTCACAGATGAAAGACTGTTTAAAGTTGATAATAAGTATATTTGAACCATTTATAGAAAACTCATTTACATATTAATGTTTAGGATGCACAGTAGTCAAGTTGAAGGACGCCGGGCTCATGACCGAAGGGTTGCACGTTCAAGTCAAGGCACGGCACTCAGTGTTCTATCTATGAGCAAGATACTTTACTCTGCTTGTTCCAGTCTACTCAGCTGTAAATGAGTATGTGGTTGGGCAGTGCTAGAATTGTTGAATGCTAGCTGTGAGCACCGAAATGGCAGCACCGACTGTATGATCCCCAGGGAGTTGATAAAGATATTGTTGTTGCAAAGGCCCTAGGTTGTGATAAAGCGTAATTTAAAAGAGCCTCAAATTATTGTTATTATCACCAGAGTGTCATTAATGCAAAAACAACTTAGATTAAAAAAAATAAAAAAATACAAGAGGCCCAATGGGCCTGCATCGCTCAGCTAGTATTAATCTCACACTTGTAATCATAAAAGTGGACAAAAAGTAACAGCTACAGGCAGAATATCAGTGTTTGATTCATAAGAACCTATTAAAAGATTTAAACATGCGCCTGTGACCTTGAATGTCAAACAAGGACATTAGGTGTGAAACACCTTGAAAGTAGGTCAAGGTAATTCATTTGAACAAACTTGTTAGCCCTTCATCCCAGCATGCTACAGGCACAATTTCAGTACCCTGTGCCTTTTGATCATTGATAAGAAGTTGTTTGCAGATTTGAAGACATTTGACCCCTGTCACCTTAAACAAGAGGCCCAATGGGCCTGCATCGTTCACCTGGTTAAAATCTCACACTTGTAACCTTAAAAGTGATCTAAAATAAAGCTACAGGCAAAATATCAGTATTTATGATTAAAGTCATTCAAAAGAACCTGTTAAAGATTTTAAAACATTTCACCCTTGTTACTTTGAAAGTCGAACAAAGTCATTATGTTGAACAAATTGTATAGCCTTTCATCTCAGTATTCAACTTGCGAAGTATCAACAGCCTGGGACCCATGGTTTTTCAGAAAAGGTCGTTTAAAGATTTTAAACAAATTTGACCCCTGTGACCTTGAATATGATTCAAGGTCATACATTTAAACAAACTTTGTAGCCCTTCGTCAGACTTTACTTCTGGCCAAATATCGACACCCTAGGCCTGTAGGTTATTAGGAAGAAGTCGTTAAAAGTAAAATATTGAGGCCGGACGGACGGAGGGACGGATGATGGACGCCGCGCCACGGCATAAGCTCACTTGGCACTTGGTGCCAGGTGAGCTAAAAATGGTCAAGGTCATTCATTTGAACAAATTTGGTAGCCCTTCATCCCAGCATGCTACTGACTAAATATCAACATCCTGAGCCTTTTGGTTATTCAGAACAAGTTTTTTAAATATTTTGAACTTATTTACTCCTTGTGACCTTGAATATGATTCAAGGTCATACATTTAAACAAACTTTGTAGCCCTTCATCTCAGCATGCTACTGGCCAAATATCATCTCCCTGGGAAGTTTGGTTATCGAGAAGAAGATGTTTAAAGTTTTTAACATATTTGACCCCTGTGACATTGAAAATGGGTGAAGGTCATTAATTTTTATAAACTTTGTAGCCCTTCATCAGACTTTGCTTCTGGCCAAATATCGACACCCTAGGCCTTTCGGTTATTAGGAAGAAGTCGTTAAAAGTAAAATATTGACGCCGGACGGACGGAGGGACGGATGATGGACGCCGCGCCACGGCATAAGCTCACTTGGCACTTTGTGCCAGGTGAGCTAAAAATGGTCAAGGTCATTCATTTGAACAAATTTGGTAGCCCTTCATCCCAGCATGCTACAGGCCCAATATCAGTACCCTGGGCCTTTTGGTTATTGAGAAGAAGTTGTTTGAAGATTTTAAGACATCTGACCCCAGTGACCTTGAAAGTGGGTCAAGGTCATTCATTTGAACAAACTTGGTAGCCCTTCATCCCAGCATGCTACAGGCCCAATATCAGTACCCTGGGCCTTTGGTTATTGAAAAGAAGTTGTTGGGAGATTTTACCATACTTGACCCCTGTGACCTTGAAAGTGGGTCAAGGTCATTCATTTGAACAAATTTGGTAGCCCTTCATCCCAGCATGCTACAGGCCCAATATCAGTACCCTGGGCCTTTTGGTTATTGAGAAGAAGTTGTTTGAAGATTTTACCGTATTTGACCCCTGTGACCTTGAATGTGGGTCAATGTCATTTATTTGAACAAACTTGTTAGCCCTTGATCCCAGCATGCTACTGGCCAAATATCATCTTCCTAGGCCTTTTGGTTACCGAAAAGAAGTTGTTTAAAGCAAAAAGTTGACGCCCGACAGACGGACGACAGACACCGCACCATAACATAAGCTCACTTGCCCTTCGAGCAGGTGAGCTAAAAACCAATGCCTCATTACATTTCTAGGCGGAGGGACGGGGAACGTTAACCAATCTACTGAATTTTGGTCCAATTCCTAAAACAACTAAATACATAGACGATCTGTGTTCTGGGTTACGATAAGAGAAATTGAAAAAACATTTTTATTTTTTTCAGGAACAGGATCTGTATATGTATTTTACCTGATTGCCTACCGGACACATTTAAATCAAATCCTTTAGCTACGATTTCATTGGATACAAGGTATCAAATTAGTCACTTTGATAATCTAATTAATTCGTAACATTTTACGATAATCCAAACCGACATGTATTTACAAGTTTGTCCCGGATATAGACTATAATAGGCAGACTGGCAGGTTTATTGTTCCGATAACATTTGCTGTTGAGGTGAAGAGGGTTTGGCTCTCTACCATGTCCTCCTGCCCAAGAAACAATCACATTAGGAGGTTATGTATTGATTTTCTCTTCCCAAAGTTATTAATAGAACTGCCTTTGTAACAGTTAATTTTCCTACTGTAACTACACTAGGGAATTAAGAAACAAAATCTAAATTAATGACGTATCTCTGATAATCTGAACAATACCAAGCTATAGCTACTGTGGGTTCTATAATATATTGTGTTAAAGTCCCTTTGTCAAAAAGAAAAAAAAATCAATTCATTAAATAAGAAGGGGCCGGGTACGTGCATTTCTCAGTTTTAACAATGGCGGCAAGTCATGATAAATGACTGAAAGTTGTTTTTACCAAACCGGATTTCAAGTTCTAGGGCAAAGACAAACAGCCTAAATTGTGCTGATTCAAAAATACATGATAGACTAGGTTACAAAAAAGTTTTATTTGATCTGCCTGGCAATAGAGCTATGAGAGGGTCATAAGGTCGGACATTAATCACAAAATCAGCAGAATGTTATGCAATATTTAAATATCTAGGTGGAGCAAAAAAAAGGTCCTTTTTTTTTAAAACAGATTGATCAATCTAATATCATTTTAATAGGCAAACAGATATCAAAAACCAAATAAAACAAACATGTTTTTGTCCCAGAAGGATAGCCGACCACTCAGGAGCCAAAAAAAGTAGGCCAGAGAATGCTAATAGATATTGATCTGTGTCTGTTTTTCAGAGCATCGAGTCTCTTAAAAACAATGACTGCACATTTTTCAGAAAAAGGTCATTTGCCTTGAAAATAGTCTTTTTTCAAGTTGGTTATCATGGTTCAAAAATGAGGTAAGGTAAAAATATACCTTTTTTCCCTAGGCATAATTTAAGATACTGATATGTTGCATTGTATTAAAAGCTCACCAATCTTCATAAGTTTCCTTTTTTTTTTAACAAATTACCAAACATGATCACTTGAAAATAAAACTATATTATATCACATGTTTTTAACATGAAACCAGCATTTAACACATCTGAAAAAAAATTATATAAAAAATACAATAAAAACAGCTCGTATATTTGGTTGTATGTTATAGGTACCTGAGTGTATCAAACTTACGGGCACTCGTTAGTTATGTATATATTGTGTGCATTAGGAAACAGACCAAATAACGGTTTGGTTTACGAGAACCCGTTTTGTATACATCCCCAATCTACAATTTGTCTTGATACTCTGGCAGTCATTCTAGGCAGGATTGCAAACACAGCTTTGGTTTATATAACAGATACTAGACAACATTCAGAAAGGTTTCGTACAAAATCAATAAATATCACACCAAAGAAACCAGATGAAAGCCAAAAAAAATGTTATTAATATTGGCCTCGGGGAGAACTCTGTTTTGAATTTGTGAAATTGTCAATTTTTAAAAGTTCCAAAACACGGCTTACCTCTTCAAGTAATCTATTAACAGCCTCTATGTCATTGTATGCCCTAGTCATCTGTGTCACACGCTCAGCACATAGGACTGAAAAAAATAAACAAAATCACATTTAAAAGTCAGAAATAATTCTGGTTAATCTTGGAAATACTCCCACGAAATGCTTTTTTTAGGTTATATTGTATAACATAATAAAAATAACCTGAATCCTGAAGTGATGATGTCATGTATTGGAACTGCTCGTTTCTACCTGGGATTTTGCTAAATAGATATTATTGAGACTTCAAAGTGACAAAATTCAAAGCTCATTGAAATTTCAAAGATAAAATTTTCATTCCAATATTTCATAGAAGCAAAATTGTAAGTCTAAACAAAAATGTGTACACATGTAATTAACCAGCTAGCAGTGATAGTGCTGAGTCGTTACTCAGTAAACAGGCTCTATTTGTAACAAGCATTAAACTGGTTCTATTATTAGCATTTGCGAGACTTTTCATTAAACACAGCCTCATTGATTTTGTCAGCAATAGTTTATAATTATGAAAATGAAGTGTCAAGGCGTATAATGGATGAACTGAATTTGGTTGAAATTCAAAATCTCCACCATTACCAACGCTTAAATGGAAACTTCTCGTATTACAACATGTTTTAAATAACATTTGTGTATTCTGAAAACTATTCTAATCTGACCATCAGTTTGTGTCTCACAGTGAGTCAGATTAGACAGGCTTGACTGACCAAACACAATAAAACTTCACTTATCTGACCCGTGTACCTGTTATGACAATCTGACCAATAGGCTGTGTCTCACAGTGAGTCAGATTAGACAGGATTGACTGACCAAACACAATAAAACTTCACTTATCTGACCCGTGTTATGACAATCTGACCAATAGGCTATGTCGCACAGTGAGTCAGATTAGACAGGCTTGACTGACCAGACACAATAAAACTTCACTTATCTGACCCGTGTGTTATGACAATCTGACCAATAGGCTATGTCTCACAGTGAGTCAGATAAGACAGGCTTGACTGACCAAACACAATAAAACTTCACTTATCTGATCCGTGTGTTATGACAATCTGACCAATAGGCCGTGTCTCACAGTGAGTCAGATTAGACAGGATTGACTGACCAAACACAATAAACCTTCACTTATCTGACCCATGTGATATGACAATCTGACCAATAGGCTGTGTCTCACAGTGAGCCAGATTAGACAGGCTTGACTGTCCAAACACAATAAAACTTCACTTATCTTACCCGTGTTATGACAATCTGACCAATAGGCCGTGTCTCACAGTGAGTCAGATTAGACAGGCCTGACTGACCAGACACAATAAAACTTCACTTATCTGACCCGTGTGTTATGACAATCTGACCAATAGGCTGTGTCTCGTAGCATGTCAGATAAGATAGGATTACTTTATTTTTGAGCTTCATCAGTTTATTTAAAAAGCTTTCATCAGCATCCATCAAAAAACCTTCACAGATTTTCTTGTGTGGGTCTCATGGAAAGCAGATACATTAAACACAGTTAAGTAGTAATTATATAATAAGTGTCAAGAGTTTAATTAAATTGTCACAATGAAGCAGCCAGAATGGTTGCTTCATTTAAAAGTTGCTATTTATTTGTAAGTTGTATAAACTTATGAGTACCATCAAGTTTGCTTCATTAAAAGGTTCTTCACTCAGTTGTATTATATCCATGGCAACCATCAGGTCTGGTTCATTAAAAAGTTTGATATAATTAAATTGTAACTCCTGGTAACCATCAAGTATGTTTTATTATGAAAAGTAGATATTATATAGCTTAACCCATGGCAACCAACAATTCTGCTTATTTCACTCGATACCACCATCAACAGTCTGCTTCATTAACACGTTTGATATTACATGTATTACAGTGTATAAGCTGTACCTGTGATCAAAAGTTTGCAAATTTAATTGTGGTACGACTGAGTTCATTTACAGGTTAAATAATGATTGTAATTATAACCCAGAAATATCAGCTAGATTCTGACCAAGGCTCAGGTCACCTTGACGTTAAATAATGCAAAAATTCGCCAAGTATATCTCCAGTGTTAATGAAACTCAGATCTAAAACTAAATGTAGGAGAATTCCAGATAGGGAAGAAAATCTCAAAATCACATTTTGAAAATCCTCGTTCAGGTCATCAAGATCTGAATAGTTAACCAACTCCTGAACTTATAAATCCCACTGCACTGTTGTTTTTAGTACCCAGGTAAACTACTTATATTGAGTAGCCTCCCCTTAATTTTGCTTTGGACATCACTGTAGCAGAGTTTGGTCAGGACCTTTCTGTTGAACAGCTGGTAGCTCAGTCGCTTGAAGCAATAGTATTACAATCATGAAGTCCAGGTTTGGTTCCCAGTTCAGCCTCGCTGGATAATTACACTCTGAGAATACTGTTCTTTATTACATTTTGTTATTTCATCTTTCTTATTTCTTCATACCTGCACGATACAGGTTGCAGTACAAAATTCTGGTATACACATATAAGGCACTGAATGGAACAGCTCCTCAGTACCTACAGGAGCTTGTTACCCTGTATCAGCCGTCAAGATCACTGCGGTCGGAGTCAGAACCTTTGTTGTGTGTCCCAAAATCTCGTACTGTGACCTACGGAAACAGATGCTTTGGAAGGGTTGCGCCTACGTTGTGGAATAGCTTACCATCTGCTATGGAAGTCAAATACCCTGGCCAAGTTCAAGAGGGACATAAAAACTCACCTCTTCACGTCTGCATTTTAGAATCTTTGCAAAGACGTCATGTAAATACCACACTTTTATTTGTTCAATTATGTGCACATTGCTTGTTAAATGTATGAAGTGATTGCAAGCCTTTGTTGTTTGTTTTCACAATTATAACCATTACTATTATCCATATGTTGTAAAGCGCCTTAGAGTAATTTTACAAATTATATAGAGCGCTAAATAAATGCTGTATATTATTATTATTATTATTATTATTCATAAAAGTCTTGCAAGGTAACTGTTTTTTTTTTATTTCAGAAATGATTTATCAACACTAAAATCTTGCAGAGAAAACAATTTCAAATGTGTAGTTACAGTTTCTGGCAGTGGTATGTGGATCCTTAATGGGTTAAATAATGAAGTGTATCATGGTACAATTAGAAAATATTTATCATAATTCCAGGATACAGCAGGTGTTAAAATGCTGTATTGATTCCTGTCCTGAAGTATGTAGAGCAACTATTGATTACACAGTGTAAGGTAGAACTGTATATGTACCTGTACATGTTTATCATACGATTCTGACCAATAACAAATTAAGTCTTTGTTGAAATTTCTGAATTTCATATTCAAAATATCTCGGGGGAAATTCAAAAATTAAAAATTAAAAATTTCAATTGCACAATTATTTAGAAATCATTTGTACTCGGGATTTTTTAATTTCTTTTGTCTTGGCAACATTAACATGAAATATCAGAGAACAGCAGCTTGTGTATCATCCTAAAACGATGTACAGCAAATTGTAGAAATATTTGGATATACCTGTAGGCTTCAATTCCTTTATCTAAAACTAATTCTCAGTATGAAAATGAAAATTCGAAAGAAATGTAAATAAATTAGCCTTGCAATTGCCAATCATAGCAACAACAAATGAAATTTATATAAAAAAAGAGAATACTACTAAAAAGATAAACATGTTTACTTTAGAATAATGTTTCATTACTCGATGAAATAGAAACTTACGTCTGCCGTAGAACCCTTCAAAATCGGATAGTGTATAAATTTCACTGTCAACCCAATATTTAGGGAATTGTCTACACTTAGTACTGTCAGGAACCTCTACACGGCATGCTGGGAAATCCCTTGTCGGCATTACCTCGGGATCCTGAACGGAGCCTACCAGAAGGTTACCGAAAACATCAACATTTTCAACATTTTTGTCCAAGGCACTCGTCACCAAACCAGGAGGTCTTGATTTAGACTTTGATCCCCTTTTAGAAGAAGGCAATACAAATTCGCTATTTCTTCTTCTGGGGCAAGTTTTAATTTTTGGTTTATCACTGCGGCTTCTATTGTTAGAATTCCGATTACCAATCGAGTTTTCAGACAAGTTTGTAAAACTGTTAGGCTTCCATAGTTTGTCTCGAGTCAAAAGTTTTAATCTATCTCTGTCATAGCACACATTTTTCTGAATTTCTAATCGTATTGTCGTGTGCCGTTTGTTTTGAATTCTCTTACGATGAACAAACTTACACCGCTTTTCTTGAACATTGTCACAAGTTTGAGCAATAACATCCTTAGATTGCCTAGTTTCAGTCAGGGAAACATTCATTTCCTCACCAAATTTTGATTTTGAATCTCCTGCAAGTTCCATACAATGTTGTAGTTCTGAATGGTTCAAACATTTTCTGTCATTACTAGTTTTCTCTTCATCAACATTCACAAAGTTGTTTCTGTTTTTGTTGCGGCTGACCGCCTCATTCAAATGGGAAGTTTCAAGATTTGGAATTCCAGGGATTTCCTCTGAATTAATTGTAGAAAAATTCCCATCTTTATCTTTGAAATTTTCATAGATATCATTGTCCATCCCTGACTTGTCAACACAAGATTCCAAAACCAAAGTGTCACCTATTGTACCTAATTCGCTAACGAGATTTAAGTTACCTGTCACACCTGACAAATTTGTCCAGCCTGCCGTATCTTTACCTTCGGTTGTTGGTTTTTCCCTGATCAACGTACTGTGAGTACTCTGTACAATATCTGGTGCTGCCAGTATGATGTTTTGATTTTCATCCATGTTATATACGCACTCAATTTTCACATTTTACCTCAACAAACATCAGGAAAGATCAAAAATTCAAAAGTATCAAGATTCAATCCCATAAATTTGAATTCCAAAATGTTCACCTCAGACGGCTCATGTATCTCCACTTAGTAATGATCTGTTGTAAGATCCAGCAATGACACAATTTCATTTTTTCCTTTAAAACACAAACTGCATCAATTTCCTGATATCGTGTTCCCGTTCATTTCCATGCATGCCAAACGTTTTACTGCACACCGGTATACATTTAGGCATCCCTGAATGTCCATGAAAGTATAATCCAGCTATACAGTGTAACACTGTTACAATGTAACGGTGTCGGTTGTTTCACAGATGGATTTTATAGATTACGGCGGGACAAGAAACAAACCAGTCAGTTCAGTTTGTAGGTTGATTTTTCCTGATGAATATTCATCAGAGGTTGACTGCGAGGTTCGTCTTTACCAAACTCATGTCAACCCATGGAACAGTTATAGATGTAGTCTCAAAGATTTACGGAAACACGAATAATATCGGATGTTATCAAAACACATTCCGAAGATAATGAAGATGTTTTCCCCACCTGCGGTAGAATCAATTTTAAAATGTCAGTACGTACACTCGCTTCTAAAGTTGATCAATATCTGTACCAAACATTTTGTAAACACAAAACGTTTGTTGATGTTTTACACTCAACCAACAGAAACAGAGTTCCTCTGGTCTGCTGCTGGTGAAGCATTATAGTCCAGATCAAGTTCCCTATACAATCTCCAGCATATTGTCAAGAACAATGTAAATATATAGATTTAAAGGTTTCAGAACTCAGCTCCTTGTGACGATGTTCAAACAAAAAAAGTCTATCAAAACATTACAGCTAGTAAACACGACATAATTGTTTTTAAATCACGTGACATTTAGTCGAAGGTGATTTACCTCTGTCTGTTTCTCAATAACAGATCGGCTGATCCATCAACAGTTTTATTCAGTGTTGTCCTGAAATGTGCCCTCCTCATCCAATATCCTGATAATTACCCAGTGCAAATAACGAGTGCATGAGGACATTGGTTTACCTACATGTGTTTATATACACACTTTGAGCTGATAAGTAGGTGGCTTACCAGCCTATCCGATGCCTCTGTAGTTACAAATGTGCAGACCTCCTTGCCACTGTAAACAAAAACCTTAAAAGACAGGTCAGCCCTTATATATATGGAATCCTAGTCAATCAAAACTGAGGGCTTGCCTCCAAGCTATTACTGGACTTTGTAGGTATTTGAAAGTGTCAATTCCTCAATGAATGGATTATTATTTTCTCACTTAAGCAATAAGTGCATAGTCTGTCTTATTAAAAACACTGTTTCATTTCAATACATCACAACACACTCCATCACCTGATATTTGAAAGTTTACACCAAGAAATTGCATACTTTTAATGTCATCCAACGCTTTTTCCAGCTGAAAGGTTTTTACCTGAACATGTCAGAAGCAACTGATGACAATATACTGCATTCAATGCGAATGCAGTATCACGAATATATCACAATGTTTCCTCATTTTTTTCATCTTCTTTTATAGCCATTTATCACCAAAGTCCTTCCTGAACAGCAAATCCAATTATAAATCTCATTTTGACACTTCAGAATTAAAAAAATAAAATAAAGAAATATCCAAGAGTTTTCAACAGAAAAGTCAACATCAATGGAGCAAATACATATTCAATTGAAGAACATAGGCACGTTCTACTCGAGGCGATGGTAAACAGTTTCATCCAAATCTTCAGACTGGTGTACCAATAAGTCAATCCATACAAGCAGCAAAAGAAAAAGAAATAAAAGCTTATAAGGCTCTTTAGATAATAATTCTTCGTCAATGTCACTCAACTTAGCGACGTCGTCAGGCTCATGCAGCTGCATCCTGGCCTAAGATGTTTAGATCACCATTGGGTTCCATAGACCGCTGTCGAGGATAGAAGCTTATGTGAGCTTACACTCAGTGAGACGGTGCTGCACAATTGTAAACAATAACATTACAGATCCTTACTTCTTCCTAGCACCATTCTGTCAATCAGTCGAGCTGTCGACCAATCAGCAAAACTCTCCAAAAACGTACCATTACAGACTTGATCAATACATCATAAATTATCACTGCAAGTCTCCTTTACAAGTTTAAAGGTCCCTGTCTGCTAAAAATAGATCTGTCGGGAAGGAAATGCATGGATCCCCCTTGGGGGACATCATCATACAGTGAGCAAGCTAAAACATGACTTCTCAACTGTGATGAAATGGAAGACGTGCCTATAATGATATGGTAATAAACATGTAACACAGCATTGAGGCAGACACATCTAATTAAAGGCTTCACTTTTGTATTTTGTGGATAAAACTTTAGGGTATAGCTACATAACATAACAAACATTTCAGAACATATTTGCACCCAATCACAATCCATTTCAAATTATAAACTGCACTCTGATTGGTCAGATTGCATCCAGAAAGAAAAGCGTTTTTTTTGCATCACCTTAAAATATTTCATTTATTAATTGAAATCTTATGAGTAAACCAAATTCATATGTCCAGCTCAGTTGCATGTGCATAAAACAATATTTTGATTTTATCATCATGATTCAATTACAAATATGAAGAATGCATACATAATGTGGGTTAAGAATTAATTTGGGTATGTGAGTACCTATATATAATGTGGGTTAAGAATTAATTTGGGTATGTGAGTACCTATACATTATGATTCAATTAGTCAAGACAAAGCTGAAACTGATCAGCTTCAAATAGGAAATAATCTTCATAAAACGCTCATATATATTTTACCATAAGCCTTTCTTCTTTTTCCTTTGTACATTTTTTCGACAGAGCATGATTTTTTTTTTTAATAATAATAATAATTTGAGGTTCTTATATTATATACCGCTTTATCACAACCTAGTTTTTAGGTTGTCTCAAAGTGGTTAACAAATTATTATCTGTAGTTCATAATAGGGCCTTTGCAACCAGCCAATATCTTTATCAACTCCCTGGGGAGCATACAGACAGTGGTGCCATTTTTGGCACTCACAGCTAGCATTCAGTAATTCTAGCACTGCCCAACCACATACTCATTTACAGCTAAGTAGACTGGAACGAGCGGAGTAAAGTATCTAATGCTCAAAGATACAACACAGTGCCATGACCCGAACCCGCTACCTTTCGGTCATGAGCCCGGCATCCTTAACCACTATAGACTACGATATGTCTCCTAATATCGAATATATCCCAATATTACTTAAAAAGGGTATGCATTTTTCTATTTTCTTTTGCCTTTTTCCGATTTGATTGTTGGTGCATTAAGTGTCTATCCGGTGTGTAATATAAATCCATCAACCTCAAGGCTTGTTCTGCATGTAAAATACTTTTCACTCTTTATTTGTGTCTAGAAATAAATCAATTTCTTTTTCAGTGACGTAAATTCTGATGCAGTCACTTGAGTCACCTTGAACCAGAATGTCAACAATACGCAGCTGTTACGAGCTGTTACGAGCTGTTTCAACAGGTGAAAGTAATAATACCATCACACTCTGAAAGACTTTAACTCAGTCTGTCTTATCAAACACCAATAAATAACCCTGTTTGAAGATAAATACAATATATCTGGAGAAACTTTTATGAGATAATATTAAATGATTAAATAAATGTAAAAATGATGCATCAGCATGTAAAAATGCACCTAGACCAGCCTGGGATTCGAACCCTAGACCTCAGATCACAATGCAGCTGCTCTAACCAACTGAGTTTAGAAATGTTAAGTGATAATAACTGGCTATTAAGTTATATCTGAAACAAAATGCACAGGAGATAACTGATTTTATAACAAAAATGTATATTGGAATTGTTCTGGCGTTTTGTAAAATGTCTTTAGTGGGACGAGGATCTTTAAATATACTTTCCTACCTGCTATGTATAAAGCCAATAGAAAAGACTTGGTTCATGCATATCAATTAGCTAAAACAGAGCCAAATTGTAATCAATCATCATGAAATGGAGGTTTTGTTTCTCCCTTGGCAAAAACGTAAATAACGACAGTATGATATCACACCACCAGAGATTATGAATAACTCACTGAAATTATCAACAAAATAAACATGAAATGGGTTTGATAAAATCCGTATAGCAGTTTTATATATATATATATATAGCAGAAATGTGTTATCAGTTCACATCTAACAACGTCAGAACAGATACCTGGTAGTTTGTATAGGCATTTTCTACTTCCCACTGACAGGTAGTGGTGAGTTTATTTGGGGGGATTTTCATTGAAAGAGTTTTTTTATCTGGGTATAATTAAAAGAAATTTATTCTTATATTGAAAAACAAATCATGCATTGAAACTTGTTCCTGTAGTTACCATATTGATTCAATGATTGGACAGGTTTTTAAATATAGACAAATTTTCAATAATTGACGAATATCTGTTTTAATTAAAGCCAATTATAGAGAGATTCAAATTCTTTTGACGGAATTTAAGATTTTTAAGGTAAAATAATTGAATACTGACCCTACGAAATATTTAGGAGTTTTAACAGACATCAAATGCATGAATAGAATAGTTACAGAACAGCTTGAAGATTAAATGTCCAGAAAGGCTGTTGACAGTAGTATATCATTAAATAAATGTTACTTACAGAGTTTGTCTTTCATGATATACCAAATGTCAATTTCAAAATTTTCCTACAGATTCACATAAGGCACGGAGTCATGTGAATCATCACTGCACTGCACAATATACTGATCTACAATCTACATCACCGGAATGTTTACATTGTGAGATCTGTATCTCTTCAATGTTTGTCATCACTATAACACAGCAGATAATAGTGAACTACACATGAACCA